TCAAAGCTCAGGGCCTGGGCCTGGGCCTTGGGTTCAAAGCTCAGGGCCTGGGCCTGGGCCTTGAGTTCAAGCCTCAGGACTTGCACAAAATAATGAATAGAAAAAAGAAAGAAGATAAAAGGCATCTCCCACTGAAGGTGAGTCTGCACAGTGGTCTGCGCAGCCAGTGTGTCTTGGGAAGATGGCTTCGTAGATGCGTGTGTCACCTTTCAGTGAATTCACCGCAGGCTCCAGCCAGCTGGGTTTAATGTCTGTGCTGCTGTGTCAGGCTGACCCGAGCCGGGACCGACGTGGTCCTGGACAGCTTCTCTGAGCTATGTTAAGTCACAGCTCGATGGAAGTTGTGGTGGAAGCTATAACTAGCACTCAAGGAACGCATCCTTCAACACAGAGGCCTGCCCGCCCATGTCACAATGGGGGTCATTTTTTGTTTCCTCTCTTGAGTTCGAAATCCTTACCCAAAAAATCAAAACATAAAAATATCACATAGTTGTCTGACAGACTGATTCATGGGGGCCCAAGTAACGGTTATGGTGGCAAAAGTAGGCCGGGCATGGTGCTTACACCTGTAATCCTAGCTACTCCGTGGGCTGAGATCGAGGCCGCTGGAGCAGGAAGGTCCCTGAAACTTATTTTCAGTGAATCACAAAAAGCCAGAAGTGGAGCCGTGGCTCAAGTGGTAGAGCTCTAGACGTCAGTGTAAAAACTAAGGAACAGCATGCCGGCATTGAGTTCAAGTCCTAGAACTGACCCCCAAAAGTGTAATTTTAAACTTATACCCCGTGTTCAATTTTAGGCTTGAAGTAAAACCTTTCAGGGGAAGGGGGCAATTTCTCCTTTTTATTTTAATATTTGCTTTTTTTCCTTTTTTGTCAGTTGTGGGGCTTGAACTCAGGGCCTGGGCGCTGTCCCTGAGCTCTTCAGCTCCAGGCTGGTGCTGTACCACTTGAGCCACAGCTCCACTTCCAGTTTTCTGGCGGTTCACTGGAGATCAGTCACGCAGACTTTTCTACCCAGGCCTGCTCTGAACCTCCTCAGATCTCAGCCTTCTGACTAGCTATGACTACAAGCGTGAGCTACCAGCACCTGCCTTTAATACTTGCTTTTTAATCTAATGTTTCCCATTTCATCTTGGGGTGGGGGCTTGGGGAGTTTTCAAGCATCATAAGATTTATGGTCATGTCTCATGACTAAATAAAATCAGTAGATTTTCCTATACTTAGCATTTCATAGAAAAGTTTCTTTCCCAAAGCCTAAGTTTGCCTTAATTCAGGCTTTCATTTTCCTCTTCTCTGACTTAATTGTGTCTAATGTCACTTTTAAATAGTGCCACCAAAAGGAAAATGCAAGTCCAGTGCTAGTGGCTCACGCCTGTAATCCTAGCTATTCAGGAGGCTGCGAGCTGAGGATCAAGGTTTGAAGCCAGTGCAGGCAGGAAAGTCCACAAGACTCTACCTCCAATCAACCCCCAGCAAAAGCTGGAAATGTAGCAGTGGTTCAAGTGGTAGAGCACTAGCCTTGAGCAAGAAACTTGAAGAACACTGCTCAGGCTCTGAGCTTAAGCCCCAGAACCAGCACAAAATATAAAGTAAATAAAGATAAATGTATTTATATTTGTATAATAAAAGGAATCTTCTCTCTCCTTAAAAATGTTTATATTATGTTTATATATAGTATATATATTATATATAATATATATTATATTATGTTTATATATAGTCAGTCATCAAAATCTAGTCAACATTCTTTTTCTTGTCAGATGGCCAAAAGAAAAAACAAAACAAAAGAAAAAACCAAACCCAGCTATAAAACAACCATCAATTAATGAACATAAAGAAGAATGAGGGGCTGGGAAGGTGGCTCAGTGGTAGAGCGCTTGCCTTGCATCCATGAGGCCCTGGGTTCGATTCCTTAGCACTACACAAGCAAACAGAAAAAAGCCGGAAGTGGTGCTGTGGCTCAAGTGGTAGAGTGCTAGCCTTGAGCTGAAGAGCTGAGGGACAGCGCCCAGGCCCAGAGTTCAAGCCCCATGACCGACCAAAAAAAAAAAAAAACTTCATTTGAGAGATGATTTGATCATCGCAAAACTCACCCATTTACAGGATACAACAGCTTTTAATAAATTGAGAGGGTATGATACAACCGGCTTCCTATTCTAAACTTTGAACGTATTTGTCACCTCAAAAGAGAAGACTTGGACTCATCCGATCACCCCTAAACCACCCCAGCCCCAGAAAAACACTAATCTACTTTATAAAGCAAAACAATTCTATTCTGTGTGCCAAGACACGGGCTTGAACTCAGGGCCTGCTTCTCTTCAAAGCTAATGCTCTACCGCTGGAGCTACAGCTCCACTCCCAGCTTCTTGGTGGTTCATTACTAATAAGAGTCTCATACACTTTCCTCCTTCCTGGGCTGGCTTTGAACCACAATCCTCAGACCTCAGCCTCGTGAGTAGCTGGGATGACAGGCGTGAGCCACCAGTGCCTGGCTGGGCAATCATTTTTAACTTGGTGAATTTTTTTTAAAAATGTGGCCACAGGGGTCATCCATGATACTCACACTAACGTCTGTGATTTTTGGCAGTTTATCCTTTTCATTCCTACAACACCTAAACTACCTTAACATTTCTAAAACCAACAAAAAAAATAGTGTTGTTTTTTAAAAAAAATCCCTCTCCCTTTCTTTCTCTCATTACAATTTTAAACGCTATTTCTTGGAATCTTTTGAAACAGCAGCTGCTCAGGACAACAAATATTAGCTCGAGTAGTTCTAAAATAACTCCTTTCTTCAGCCGTGAAAGGGAGGAGAGTCTGCGTCAATAAAAATATTCCAGTGGCTATGAGTTTTCTCCACAAGTGACTTAGTGAAGGTAAATACCAAAAGCTCTAAAATCGATCATAGTAGCACTTTTGTGAGCTGTCTTCCCTAGGGGTGAGGTCAGTTTAGCTGTTAAAGAAAACCCACTGGGTGGGGGAAAGCTAAACCTGGGCTTTGACATTTCAGTCTTTTTTTCCGCTAGTGACCTCGGCTCCCTTTCCTGAATTATTATTGGTTTAAAAACAAAGCAGTGTTTCTAAGTTTCTCTCTTTCCTTTTGGTGTCAGTGTTGGGCCTGGAACTCAGGGCCTCATTCAAGGCTGGTGCTCTCCTGCTTGAGTCATAGCTCCATTTTCAGCATGTTTTTGCTGGTGGACTGTAGAAAAGAGTCTCACAGGTTTGTTTACGAGGGGTGGCTTTGAACCTGCATCCTCAGGTCTCAGTTTTCTGAGTAGCTAGGCTTACTGGCATGAGCCATTGGCACTTGGCCTGCGTCTCTTCGCTTTCGCTGCAGTACAAAGCTCCTGAGCTGGACACGAAGGTCTGATCACTTGAAATAAGAGCTCCTGGGAGATTTGTATCTCTTAGAAGGGGAAATTCAACAGGAAAAGAAAACCAAACCACATGCTTCATTTCTGATCATGTGATCTATTTTACACCTGTATTGTTGACTTAGTATTTCCGAAGAATAGGGGCCCAGAGAAAATACTACAGTTACACAAAGGCCAGCCGCAGAGTCCTCTACCTTCAGAAACACTGACTTGTTTCCCAAGCTCCAGAACAGCTCTGGCTCCTGAAGATGAGATCAAACTGACCAAAGACACAAACTCCTGGGAGATAAAAACCACTGGCCAATAAGAGCTTACAGATAATGTGTGTGTGTGTGTGTGTGTGAGCGTGCACAAGCGCACACACACACACATGCATGTGTATGCTGGTACTGGGGTTGGAAGTCAATGTCTAGACCCTGCCCCTTACGTTTTTGCTCTACCACTTAAGCCACGGCTCCACTCCTGGCTTTTTAGTGGTTAACTTGAGCTAAGAATCTCAAGGACTTTCCTGCCCTGGCTAGCTTCCAACTGTGATCCTCAGATCCTAAGTAGTGAGCCACCAGTGCCTGGCTACAGATCGTTTTTTAACACTTGGCCTAAAAATGTAAAGGCATTAACTCCTTTTAGAATGTAACTGTCTGTGCGTGGTGTGTGTGTGTGGTGTGTGTGGGGTGTGTGTGGGGTGTGTGTGTGTGTGTGTGTGTGCGCGCGCGCGCAGGTCCTGGGGCTTAAACTCAGGGCCTGAGCCCTGTCCCTGAGCTTTTGTGCTCAACACTAGAGCTCTAGCACTTGAGCCACAGCTCCCCTTCTGGTTTTCTGGTGGTTCATTGGAGATAAGATTCTCACAGACTTTCCTGCCCTGGCTGACTTTGAACTGTGATCCTCAGATCTCAGCCTCCTGAAGCTCTAGGATTACAGGTGTGAGCCACTGGCTCCCAGCTGTATCTCCAGTTTCCTTTGGGAAATATTATTATTGTTGTTGTTGTTGTTGTAAAGCAGGAAGATTGCCACCTATTCAGTTCATGTCAGCTGGTTGGTTGGGGCAGGAATGGAACCCAGGCCCTAGCGGAGCTTGCTTAGCCACAGACTCTACCACCAAGCTACACCCATACAGCACTGTAGCCCAACTTCACTTCAAATACTGAAATATGCCGAGCATAAGAAGACGCATGGGTATTTTCTAAGTTTGCTCAGAATAGAAAAAAGTCAGGAAGGATATACTCCAAACTGTCACCAAAGAAAACAAAGATAATAATTGCTTGTTGTCCTCTCTTTCTCTGTCTCTGTGTCTGTCTGTCTTTCTCTGTGTCTCTCTGTCTCTTTCTCTCTCTCTCTTTTTCTTGTGCTGATACTGGGGCTTGAACTCAGGACTTTATTTCTTGCTCACCTTTTCTATCCACCTGAACCACACCAGCATTTTTCTGATTAGGTATAAGAGTCTCATAGCTTCCAACTCCCAGCCTTAAATCTCAGCCTCCTGAGTAGCTGGGGTTATAGCTATGAGCCACAGGGCCCAGCTTATACTTTCTCTTGAATAGCAACCCTGTGTCTGATACACAGTCCTTTTTCCTACTTTTTTCAGGGGATCTAGATAGGAGAGCAGGAATCGGCTGCCTGAATTGTTCTGACTACAGAGATTTGTTAGCCTATCATCTAAAGTAAGAGCAGAGCACTTTCTGAATGTTTTGCTAAATGGCTTAAGAAAGAGAGGGGGGGGGGAAGGCTTCTCTTCTTTCTTCAGTCACAAAGATGATGCTTGAACTCTAGGCCTCAAGCTCTTGCTTGGCTTTTTCCCTCAAGGCTCTGAGTAGCTAGAATTACAGGCGTGATCATCAATGCCCAAAAAATCGCTGTCTCTGATTTGCTCTTCTTATTGAAAAAAATCACCATAATCATAATATTCCTCATGTTTTAAAATTAACCCAGATGGGAGCCAAGAAGGAGATTGTAATATTTGGTAGCATTTAAATTATTTTCTCTGCATGGTTATGAAAATGAAATCCATTCCACAAAGGTATAAAATTAGCCTGAAGGATTGAGTGGTAATTTAGTTTTATTGGGTATATTATTTAGTATTTATTGAATACCACCGTGTTCCAGAACCTTGTAGGGGACAATACGTGGTCTGTGTTCTTTAGCAAGAACTTTGTTTGCTAGGTTAGGAAATAAATCCCACTGTGTGGGCCATGAAATGTTTTGCCCGGATGTAAACTGAATTTAGAAGGGCCAGAGACAGAACTGTGAACATTTCAAGAAATTCACATCCAATAATAAATCTTTCCTTGGTAAAACAGAATAGCAAGCACACACACAAAAAAGGCAAGAAATCTAAGTTGGGTGCTACTTGGAGATTCGAGTCTCATAGACTTTCCTGCTCAGACTGGCTTTGAACTTTGATCCTCGGATCTCAGCCTCCTGAGTGGCTGGGATTACAGGAGTGAGTCACTGGCGCCTAACAATAGGGAATAGTTGCTATCTTCTAGGTCTTAGGTCACTATATAGGTTCATAGCTTTGAATGGGGGGAACTTGGAGGTTGGGTAAAACACCTCACTCCTGTAATCCCAGCCAAGCTACGCAGGGAGTTAAGATCTGGAGGGTCTTAATTTAAGACCAGTTCCAAGCAGAAAAGTCCATGAGACGCCATAACTAAAATCACCAGCCAAAACCTGGGCTGGATGTGTGGTTCTGGTGGTAGAGCACCAGTAGAGCAAGAAAGTCAACCAAGTACTCGGCTTGAGTTCAAAACCCAGTTCAACAAACCAAAACAGACAAATCACAGCATCTAAGCCATAAAGTGCTCGATCTGCCATTCCCTAAGATGCTTTTGTGTGGATGTCAGTACTAGGGCTTGAACTCAGGGCCTGGGTGCTGTCTTTTAGCTTTGTCACTAATGGCTGGTGCTCTACCACTCGAGCCACAGCTCCACTACCAGTATTCTGATGATTCATTGGAGATGTGTTTCATGGACTTTCCTTGCTCTGACTGGCTTCGAACCTGGACCCTCAGATCTCAGCCTTCTAAGGAGCTAGGTCGACAGGTATGAGCCATAGTCAACCTGGCTCATTTTAATTGTAGTCATTTAATCCATGAGTGTCCTCTTCCTTAAGCAACTAATAGCAATAGTTCTGAACAAAACATGTGTAATACTCAGCTTTTTTTCTAAATTAAAATTGCATTGGTGGCTCACGCCTGTCATCTAGCTATTCAGGAGGCTGAGACCTGAGGAACACGGTTCAAAGCCAGCCCAGGCAAGAAAGTCCTTAAGACTTGTATCTCCAATGAACTAGCAAATAAGCTCGAAGTGGCGCTGTGGCTCAAGTGGTAGAGCGCTAGTCTTGAGCATATAAAGCTCAGGGACAGCGCCTAGACCCTGAGTTCAAGTCCTAGAACTTGAACCAAATAAAGATAAAATAAAACAATTACCTTGTAGAGCAAAAGGAGCTCAGGGACAGTGCCCAGGACCTGAGTTCAAGCCCCAGGACCTATCTGTGTGTGAAATATGCAGCTATTACTAAATATATTCTTTTGCTAAAATCTGTCAAGATTGATCCCACAGACTTTTTTTTTTCAGTCCTGGGGCTTGAACTGAGGGCCTGAGCGCTGTCCCTGAGCCTCTCTGTGCTCAAGGCTAATGCTCTACCATTTGAGCCACGCCACCACTTCTGGCTTTTTCTGTGTATGTGGTTACTGAGGAATCAAACCCAGGGCTTCATGCATGCTAGGCGAGCGCTCTACCACTGAGCCACCTGCCCAGCCCCCAGACATGTTTTTATAGGCCAGCTACCTACCCCTGAAAAATGACAGCCACACACAAAAGCACCCATGTCTCCAACCACCCAAAGCCATTTTATCCAAGAGAAAAGTACACTGAAGGATCTCAAAGATGGTAACATCTTTTACTAAAAAGAAGCAAGGAACAATCCAGGCCCGTGAGGAGAAAAAAACCCAACACCTACCAAGAATGTTTGTGGAAGTCAAGCACGTTCATTGTATTTATAAATAAAAATATACCACCATATATTTTATACACACATGCACCATAAATATCGATGGTATTTGCTCAGCAGGGGTCGGGCTGTAAATGTCCAGCAGGGCTGAGCCTCCTTGTTTGTATGTATGTATTTCTGTCTCCCTGGACTCAAGCTACTAACCACAAAGTCACGTCTGTGATTTACACTCGCAGCCTAGAGCAATGGCAGCCGCCATCCCTCTCAAACTTCACTTGCTTACAACACACACTGCGTCCATGTTCAAACTACAAGAAGAGCCTCAGGGCCTTGTGCTCTTGCTTGGCTTTTTCAACTCAAGGCTGGTGCTCTGCCGCATGAGCCATCCCTTTACTTCTGACTTTTTGCTGGTTCACTAGAGATAAGAGTATCACAAATTTGTCTGCATGGGCTAACCTCAAACCACGATCCTCGACTCTCAGCCTCCTGAGTAGCTAGGATTAACCGGTATAAGTCACTTTTGAAAGTATGCCCTTTCAAATCTACTACTGGTCCTAGGAGGATACGCTCTGTACCTGTAATGGAATGTATGTTATAGTCATTTTCTCATTTTTCCCAAGAATTATCTTTTTTATTATCATGCATTGAATGAATCAGAAATCACATTTGAAAAATGAATGTAATTGCACCAGGCACTGGTGGCTCAGACCTGTTATCCTAGCTAAACAGGAGACTGAGATCCGAGGATCACAGTTTGAAGCCAGCTTAGGGAAGAAAATCTATGAGACTGTTATCTTCACTAAACTACCAAAAAGACCAAAAAGAAGGAAGGAAGGAAGGAAGGAAGGAAGGAAGGAAGGAAGGAAGGAAGGAAGGAAGGAAGGAAGGAAGGGAGGGAGGGAGGGAGGGAGGGAGGGAAGGACGAAGGGAGAGGGAGAAGGAGGGAGGGAGGGAGAGGGAGAGAGAGAGAGAGAGAACAGATGAAGGTATTAGAAATGACAAAGCAGTGGACCTGCTAATACTACAGGAAACCTCACTAGGACCAGAACCCTAAGCAACAAACAACTCAAGGAGTTAAAGCAATCCAGTTTTGGTGGCAGTTATCCAGAAAACTGTGATAAAAATCTGTAGCTTTATGCTGTTAAATTTTGGAATAATGTTTTATATAATGAAAACTCAGGAAGTGTGAAGTCCAAAAGGAATAGTGTGTGTGTGTGTGTGTGTGTGTGTGTACCAATACTGGGTCTTGAACTTTGGGCCTGTGCACTGTCCCTGAGCAAAATACTTTGCTCAAGCACTCTACCACTTAGCCACAGCACCACGTCTGGCTTTTTGTTAGCTAACTGGAAATAAAGTCTCATGATCTTTCCTGCCTGGGCTGACTTCTAACTCTGATCCTCAGAGCGCAGCCTGCAGAGTAGCTGAGATTACAGGCGTGAGCCACCAGGGCCTGACCCACAAGCAGTTATCTTAAGCCCTTGGGCTGTGAACACCTTATTGTATGTCTATTATATTGCATAAGGAAGGACTTAAACGTGACTTGAAAGGACCTCATTTCTCCAGCCTGATGTCAAATGTCTTCCAGAGGACCACTGAGAAATGTCAAGACATTTGAAATCTATAGTGTACAGCAGGATTGTATGTTGTTATTTCTGTGAACTGTGAAGTACGAAAACGCTGCCCACATCCATGAAAATAGTAGCGTCTCATTTCCACAGTGGAAACAGAGTTCCCAGGGCAGAATGGCTATCAGCAGAAAGCTCCGTTCCAATGAACTCATCCTGTCTAGACCAGCCCAGCATCAAAAGTGAAAACAGATGACTGAGCTATTTCCTTTTCTTTGAAACTTTGACCCTGCAATGTTCATTGATACGGCTTCAGAGCTAAGTATATGAAGGTTCATCAGAAAAGTCAAGGTGAAAATTGCAAAGTCAGAGTGTGGGGAATGTGGCTTAGTGGTAGAGTGCTTGCCTTGTATGTATGAAGTCCTGGGTTCGATTCCTCTGTACCAGATAAACAGAAAAAGCCGGAAGTGGTGCTGTGGCTCAAGTGTAGCGTGCTCACCTTGAGCAAAAGAAGCTCAGGGACAGTGCCCAGGCCTCTAGTTCAAGCCCCAGGACTGGAAAAAAAAAAGAATTGCAAAGCCAGAAGCACTACTTTAAATGAAGAATTTGAATAATTGAGTCAGGTGCTGGTGGCTCACGCCTGTAATCTTTGCTATTGAAGGGGCTGAGATATGAGGATCGCGGTTCAAAGCCAGCCTGGGCAGGAAAGTTGGTGATTCTTTCCAATTACCTAGAAAAAGCCAGAAGTGGAGCTATGGTTTCAGCTGTAGAACGCTAGCCTTGAGCCAAAGACACTCAGAGCCCAGGCCCTGAGTTCAAGCCAAGGACCAGCTCACAGACACAAAAATATCTCACTTAAATTAGGGTACGTCTGGCTTCTGATGTATAGCTGAAAGTTCTTTTAAGCAAATGTTATTTTTAGTTATTGTTGTCATTGCAAAAAGAATAATATCAAGAAATAGAATGATACAGTATGCGCTGCCAGGGACTGGTGGCTCACAGCCATAATCCCAGCTACTCAGAAGGTTGAAATCTGAGGACTGCAGTTCAAAGCCAGCTCAAGCAGGAAAGTCCACAAGACTCTTATATCCAGTTAATTACCAAAAAGCCAGATGTGGTAGAGTGGTAGCATTCAGCAAAAAAGCTGCCTAGTTTGTGAGTTCAAGCCTCAGGATTGGCACACACACACACACACACACACACACACACACACACACACAAAAGCATTTCACGCCAGGTGCCGGTGGCTCACGCCTATAATCCTAGCTACTCAGGAGGCTGAGATCTGAGGATCACAGTCCAAAGCCAGGCCGGGCAAGAAAGTCCGTGAAACTCTTATCTCCAATAAACCACCAGAAAACTAGAAGTGACGCTGTGGCTCAAGTGGTAGGGCACTAGCCTTGAGCTGAAGAGCTGAGGGCCAGCGCTCAAGCCCAAAGTTCAAGCCCCATGACCGACAAAAAAGAAAAAAAAAAAAGAATTTCAAATGCTGAATTTCAGAGAATGTTTCATTTAAGGACTTCACTCATAGCAAATGCTTAGAATCTCCCATGGAGAAATAATTCACTTTGATTTCTTTCTTTTATTTTAAACTCAGCCTTTATAATAACTTCTTTCATAATAAATGCTAATAAAAGCATTTCTTGTCTCCTCTGTCACTTGACCTGAGGTTTTCAAAGTATTCCCACCAAAGAATCTGATGTCCAAAGAAGAAATTTTTTGATGTCAGTATACAGAATTAATCCACTGTCTGGAGTTTGGCTATCCAGACCCAGATATTAACAACTGTTCAATCAAATGACAGCAGTTGTGTTTGAAAGTTCTCCATGTGACCACAGACAAAGACTACACCCCCACTCACCACTTTCCAACTTTATCCTTCAGACTTACAAGCTGTATGGAAAGAAAATAAGCACAGAATGCAAAACCAGCTAAAGCCACCAGCACAACCATGCTCATTGCAGCATTGTTTAAACATAGCCAAGAGCTGGAATCAACTCAGACGCCCCTCAACAGACAAATGGATCAAGAAAACGTGGTATATGTACATAAGGGAATTCTATGCTTCCATCAGAAAGAATGGCATTGCCCCATTCATAAGGAAATGGAAATACTTGGAAAAATTATATTAAGTGAAGTAAGCCAGGCCCAAAGAAACATAGGCTGCATGGTTCCCTTCATGTATAATAACTATAATGTGCCTTTACTGAGCAGGGCGTAGAATGTTTTAGACCCATGCATCTAATTTAGCATTTAAGCAAATGAACATTCATTGTTTTCTAGCATCATGGCTACATTTACTCACTCATTTATATGTTCAGATAATACTTACTATTCATATATATATATATATATATATATATATATATATATATATATATGCTTGGGGACTGGGCGCTGTCCCTCAGCTCTTCAGCTCATGGCAAGTGCTCTACCACTTGAGCCACAGCGCCACTTCCGGCTTTTTTTGCTTATGTGATGCTGAGAAATTGAACCCAGGGCCTCATGCATACCAGGCAAGCACTCTACCACTGAGCCACCTGCCCAGCCCTATATATTTTTATATCAAGCAATAGACAAAACTCTGGGGTGGTAATGCTGGGCAAGGCCGGTAAGATCTTCATGAAGAGTAGAGGCTTTTCTGAGCCGGCTTAGACAGTTCAAGCTATTGAGAGAGATATTTCTAAAAGTCGTCCAAATCAAAACAGATCTTGAAGAAAAGAAGGAAGGAGGAAGAAAGAAAGGGAGGGAGGGAAAGAAAGAGAAAGGAAGAGCAGGAAGGAGGAACAAAGAAGAAAAGAAAAAGAAGAGAAGAGGGGAGGGAAGACAGAAAGGGATAGAGGGAAGGAGAGAGGAAAGGAATGAAGAAACAAAGAAAGAAAGATCAGGAAGGAGGGAAAGAGAAAAAGAAAGAGAAGAGAGGGGAGGGAAGAGGGGAAGACAGAGAGAAGGAGAGAGGAAAAAGGAAGGAAGGAACAAAGACAGAGAAAAAGGAAGAAATAAGAAAGAAAGAAAGGAAAAGAGAAAGAGAAGGTGAGCAGGAGAGAGGGAAAAGAACCAGAGAAAAAGGAAAAGAGAAAAGAGAGGGAGGGACGGAGGGAAGGAGAGAGGGAAGGAAGGATGGAAGAATGAAGGAACAAAGGAAAGGAGGGAAGAAAGGAAGAAGGGAGGGAGGGAGACACGGAAGGGAAAGAAGAGTTAGAGATCAGAAGTAGCCATATAATCTTCATAAGGACCTGGCATCCCCTACATAACTCACGTTGCATTTCAAGAAGGATTATCTGGGAAGTTTCGTGCAGAGGTGACTTTGCCTTTCAGGGTGAAGCGGAGGCTTGCCTGTGTTTTCTTTCTATAGATGGTGAGCCATTCCTGCGCCCAAATCGATGATATCATCTGCCATTACACCTTTGCAAATAGTTCTGCCGTTATGAAACGGAAACTGGAACACAAACAGGGGGGAAAGAGCACCGCAGACTAGCAAAACACAATCCGCAAATGAACTCTTGTTTGTGTTTCATAAAAGAGACATTTTCACACCTGGGAGACAGCGGTTACGGTTTTATAGCCAGATCATTTATGCAACTCTCTCTGTTGACGCTACTATTTTATATTCAATATTTGCTTGATTTTTTTCCTACTGAGAAACATAAACCAAATTCATCGTTATTTATTTTGCAAAATGTGCCTATGAGGTCTGTTCCTTGCTTCATTTGAGAAAAAGTTAAAGCCTTCACGGTTAGAAATAAAAATGATCTTACAAAAAGGTTTTCTTCATGAGAAATGCATTCAAATAGCAATTTCTATTTATAGGTAAACATCTTCAAGTTGCCTGAGAAAATCTTAACCAGGAGCCAGTGGATCCCACCTGTCATCCTAGCTACTGAGGAGGCTGAGATCTGAGGATCGTGGTTCGAGGCCAGCCTGGGCAGGAAAGTTCCCGTGAGACACAGGCCCTGAGTTCAATCTTCACAACTGACCAAAAAAGGAAAGAAAGAAGGAGAGATGGAAGGAAGGAAAGAAGGAAGGAAGGAAGAAAGGAAAAGAAAGAAAGAAAGAAATCTTATACAAACTCATAGTAAATCTAAGTGCTTTCCTCCTACCTGATCTGTGATTTGGTGTAGCCCAATTTGATGCATCCCAAGGAAAGCTGGACCAAGAAATAAATGAGAATTGTGGTTTAAAGCCAGCCTGGGCAGGAAAGTCTGTGACTCTTATTTCCAACTGATCACCGAAAAAGCCACAAGTGGAAGAGTATCAGTTATGAGCAAAAAAGCTAACAGACAGCACCAGGCCCTGAATTCAAGCCCCAAGCAGGTGTGTGAACACACACACACACACACACACACACACACACACAATTTTATAGTAATAATCCATATAACCATTGCCTGGATTTGACTTTTCTGTCTCTAAATGTGGATCTATTTTTGAGCTCTCAATTCTGAAATATGCTTGTTGATGTTTATGCCAGTAACACAGAGATTGTAGCTTTATAATAGCAAGTCTTGAAATCCTACAGTAGAAATATTTCCATTTTTTTCAAGTTTGCTTTGCAGTGTAGGTGCTTTGTATCTCCATATAAATTTTAGAATCATGTCAATTTCTCTTAAAAAATAGGATGCTTCTATGTATGATATAGATTTATAGATGAGTCTTGTCTCAATATTATATTATTTTGTTGGCCATGGGTGCTGGTCACTGTCACTGAGCTATTTTTTGTTCAAGGCTAGCCCTCTAGACTACTCTGAGCCACAGATACACTTCCAGTTTTTAGTGTTTCATTGGAGATAGAAATCTCAAGGCCATTCCTGCCCTGGCTGGCTTTGAACCCTGATCCTCAGATTTCAGCCCTCTGAGTATCTAGGATTACAGGTCTGAGTTACCAGCACCCTGCTCCATGATATTTTTCTTAAAGATTATGTTCTCTATGATGATTTTTCCTAAAGGCTGGTGCTGAGGCTTGAAATCAGGGCTTCTGACTTGTCGCTTAGCTTTTTCATTCAATGCTAGCACTCTATCTACTCTTGGAGCCACAAGTCCACTTCCAACTTTTTGGTGGTTTAATGGAGATGAGAATCTCATGGACTTTCCTGTCCAGGATTGGCATAGAAACATGATCCTCAGATCTCAGCCCCCTGAGTAGCCAGGCCTGGCTTCTGAGCTTTGTTGCTAGTCTCTATCTGAAATTCACCTTTTTTCTCTTTACTATACAGTAACGCTTACTTACTTTTCAACATGTAGGTCTAGAAATAACACTCAGACAAGTCTTTCCAGCAAGTTCCAGTTAATTAATTCCTTGTTCAGAGCTCCATGATTAAGTATACATACATTACTGCCAGTTGGCTATGTTGTTTTATACTTTTTCTTAAGTCACGTAGCTTATTCAATAACTTGCACATAGTAAATTATTCTTGCTTTTCTGTGTGCATTTGCCATTCCTGGGACTTGAACTCAGGGCCTGAACATTGTCCCTGAGTTTATTTTGCTCAAGACTAGTGCTTTACAACTTGAACTACAGCTCCACTTCTGTCTTTCTGCTGGTTAACTGGTGGTGAGCATCTCATTGACTTTTTTGCCCTGCCTGGCTTTGAACCAGGATCCTCATGTCTCAACCTCCTGAGTAGCAGAGGCCACAGGTACAAGCCACCAATGCCTGGCCTCCTTACATATTTTTATCCGTCAAAGTCTCTATTGTCTGCCTAACATATTCCAGAGATTACATCTTAGCTGGGGGAAACAGAAACAAGCCTAGGCAGATAGGTGAATAGAATAATCACAGATGATGCCAGGTGATACAGAGATTAAAAAAAAAATCAAAGGCCCCAGACAACACACGACTACTTCACCTCAGAGAGAAGTGGGATTTTCAGGAAATGACATCTAACCTGAACCAAAACCAAGGATACAAACAGTACCCGCAAGAGCCTGTGTGGGAGAAGAGTCTTTCACATGAATGAAGCAGGAGGTACAAAGGCCCTGGTGTGAAATCAAGGGCAGGCAAGCCAGCATGTATAGCAGAGGAGAGAGTCCGGGGAAACTTCTCAGAGATGACACTCGAGAAGATGAGAAGGGGTTATCCTGTCAGTAAAACCAGAGGGAAAATAGTCAAGGCAGAGCAAGTTACAAAAGGCAAAGAGAAATGCACAGCCAAAAAGACTGCCCAGTACCTGTGGCTCACACCTGTCATCTTAGCCACTCAGGGGGAGGAGATCTGAGGATCAAGATTCCAAGTCAGCCTAGGCAGAAATGCCCGTGAGACTCTTATCTCCAATTAGCCAGCAGAAAGTAAGAAGTAGGGGTGGGTAGAAATGGTAGAGAGTAGAGCACCAGCCTCGAGCCAAAAAAAGCCTAGCAAGAGCGTGAGGCCCCGAGTTCAAGTCTCACTACTGGCACAAAGCTAAACAAAAAGAAGAGTATGGTAGGAGGGATTTCAGAGAAGCCAAAAAACAGCATGGGTTTGGGGATAAAAAGAAAATGGGAAAACAGAAACTCTTGTGGTGGATATTTATTCTGATTGAAAGAAGAGTTGAGATCAATAGGTAGAACAGAATATGTATGTGTATGTATGTAATGTGTGTGTATGTATGTATGTATGTATATGGCTCACAGCTCACATCTGTAACCCTAGCTACTCAGGAGACTGATATCTGAGGATTGTGGTCTGAAACCAGCCTGGGCAGCAGTGTCCATGAGTCTCTTAACTCCAATTAACCACCTCCCCCACAAAAAAAAATAAGTTGAAGTGGAACTGTGGCTCAAGTATAGAGCACTAGCCTTGAGCACAAAAGCTCAGGGACAGCATCCAGGGCCTGAGTTCAAGCCCCAGGACCAGCCCCAATTTAACAAATAAAATAAATAAAAAGAGCCAGACACGAGTTTCTCAGAGAACTGTAGGCCAGTGATCACGACTGACTGTATTAGCGATGGAAGAACAGGATCTTGTGTCTGAATTTAATGAGCGATGATCAAGCTCCAGTTCTGGCCTGAGTGTATTCTGAACCTAGATCCTGAGATCTCAGTCTCCCGAGTAGGTAGGTGACAGGAGTGAGCCATGGGTGTGCAGCATCTTTAAGTTATCGGAGTACGTGGCTATATCCATCTTTGAAGCAGACCCTTTAACACATACCAGTTGGGTGACCTTGGAGAAATGTCACCGAAATCCAGCCTTTTGGCAAAATGGTAACAGCAGGCAAGGGGGGAAATGCACCCACGAAGGCGTGAGGACCCAAGAATGTCTGTGGGCTGTGCCAGGGTGGCATGTTTGGCTAGAATGCCTTGTTAAGGGATGCGTAGGGTGCTCGGGGACAAGGGACTCCTCTGTATGCTTCGTTGTCACCTCCCGTGAATGCAGAACGATTTCAAAGTAGGAGTCCCTACTTAAAATGTGCTGGAAAGCCAGGGACCAGGGGCTCACGCCCGTCATCCTAGCTGCTCAGAAGGCTGAGATCTGAAGTTGGTGGTTCAGAGCCAGCCCTGGCAGGCAAGTGTGTGAGCCTCTTAGCTCTAATGAACCACCAGAAAACCGGAAGTAGAGCTGTGACTCAAAGTGATGAGCGAGAGACTTGATCTGAAGAGCTCAGGGACAGTGCCCAGGCCCTGAGTTCAAGACCCATGACCAACAACAACAAAAAAGTGACTAGACTGAAATATACTGTGAGTTTAATTCATACTGGATTTTAGCAGGGTGTCAATAATTGCTCATGCCTGTCCTCCTAGCTACTCAGGAGGCTGAGATCTGAGGATGGAGGTTCAAAACCAACCTCCGCAGGAAAGTCTGTGAGACTCTGATCTCCAATAAACCATCAGAAAACCAGAAGTGGTGCTGTGGCTCTAGTGGTAGAGCACCCGCCTTGAGCTGAAGAGCTGAGGGACAGCGCCCAGGCCCTGAGTTCAAGCCCCATGACTGACAAAAAAAAAAGATATTGCCAGAGTATTATTTTTAAGAATCTTAAAGCATTTAATTTTTTAATATAAATAACTCACCTACCACACAGCTCCTCCTCCACGCTGCCTTTATGTCCAGCCACATATCAAACCTACAAAAAAGCTACCATTGTGCTCACTGTAAAACAAAGACAGACTAGCAAAAGAAAGCATTTCACTTCCTCATTCTGACAGAACAAGAAAAAAACTGGAAGGGAGCATATATTTCAAGGAACTGTTTTTTCTTATTGGAATATAGAATTTTTTTCCTACAGCAAAAGCTCCTATGCACATACAATATAGGTATACATTTTTTTTTTGTCAGTCATAGGTTTTGAACTCTGGGCCTGGGCGCTGTCCCTCAGCTCTTCAGCTCCAGGTTAGTGCTCTACCGCTTGAGCCATAGCACCAATTCTGGTTTGCTGAGTGGTTTACTGGAGATAAGAGTCTCACATAGTTTCCTGCCCGGGCTGGCTTTGAACCGTGATCCTCAGATCTCAGCCTCCTGAGTAGCTGGGATGACAGGTTTGAGCCACTGGCGCCTGGCCATACCTTTTTATTTTTTTTTTTAAACAACCTCTAGACATTCTAGTTACATAGCTGGCTTTGCTGTTTTACTACTCTTCTTGTTTTTGCCTTTTACTGGATAGTAACATTCTCAGTTTGGAAATTGCTGTATTCTGTCATAATACATTGTTACTGTTTTGCTACAATCATCAGTCCTCATATATAACATATTGCATACAATGCTGTATATACTATGTAGTGTGTATGCAATATCCATATACTACCTATATTATCTAATAGTTTATATAATGCATTATATACATATTATATACATATATTGCGTATATAACATAAAACAGTATATACTACAGATAGCAGATACACTACATATAGTGTATATATACTATATTCTATATACACACTATATAGTAATATACAGTATGTTATATAGTACTTATAGTAATATATATTACGTACTATATATTGTGTATCATAATATAGTAT